TTTCCTAAAACAAAAACAAAAGATAAACGCGACCAAATGATTTTTTGTGACTTTTTGTGTCTAGCGGCTAAATGTTTGGCCCGTTTAACGGCTCAGTTAACCTCATTGAGACCCTCATTTATAGTAACGTCGACTTCGTAGCGGAATCTTACCCATCTCACACACAACAATTCGGTTTTAACATTACCTCGTAGCATCTTCACAACTACAATTCTTGTCGATTTTTCATCCTTTTCACTGGTTTGCTGAGTCGATGGTCCGCGTGTTATACACAAAGGGGTTTTCAGGACTCCTTTGTATACTTTGCCAAAGTCACAGTGACCGAGCTCTTCGCAAATAGTGACGTCATCCCTCTTCATTTCCCAGCCCTCATTCGTTTCTGTTTTGTTGTTAACCTCGTCGAGTTTATATTCCCTGCAACATCAATTTTCAAGATGTAAATCCTAGCTCTAATTGGCTAAAATCTTAAAAACACTTTTAGGAGACGCAAGCGATACAATACCACCGAAAAGGAGGTTATCCTGTCAAAATTATCTCTTTAGGAGTTAGTGTTTGAGTGAACTTTTCAACACCCAGGGGCTCCATTTTCGAATTGACCTCACTGATTAAAAGCCTAGCAGACTGGAATAACTCTTTGCTAAAAAGGATATGCAGTTTTTAATGTTGGGCTTATTTTATCAGACTGGAAAGAATCTCTTCAGTGTGTTGCAAAAGTTTAATTGTTCGTACATGAAAAGTTTTCAAAACGTGATGATTTGAATCAAATACGGCAAGATTTTCCAGTTTAAACAAACTGTAGCATGTAACATGAAAAACTGACTCAAAAGTTGGGAAAGAAATTTCATGGTCTTTTATGATATAAACCCACAGAATTATTGGTTTGGACAAAAAGCGCAACGCCAGTCTCACCTCCCATTGCTTACACCCATGCACAATGAAGAACGAATGAACTTTTAAAAAAACTAACTGAGAAAACGATACAAACCTCGCACTTCTTTGTTTCCTCAGAATACAAAGACGAGCAGCTAGCCCAATCACCACAGCCGTCAAACCACCACAAACAGCTATCAACACGATCTCCAACGTAGACAGCCTGTTCGTTTCCATGCCGCTAGCATCCTGGCGTCCATTACCTGGAACTCCTGAAGGATTTGAAACACTTTGTGTTTTGGTTGCAGTGGCGGTGGTAGCTGATGGTGAGGGCCTGATTATTATTGTTGTCGTCGCGATCGAGTTGGTAGAACATTCTACCGTTGGTAAAGATTCCAGGTTTGTTGACACAGTTGGTACCAAAGAATGCACGGTTGCACATGATGTAGCGAGTGGAGTATGGAAGACAGGTTCTATAGAGAAGCATAAATTACTTTTGGTGAAAAAAAGATTTTTTGATGGTTCGTACCATTTCATGTATCTATAAAAAAG